ATGCTGGTCTGTGTGTGTGTGTGCGGGGGGGGGGCTGGTCTGTGTGTGCCTGGGCTCTGATACCTCCCCCACCCGGCAGGAGGCCATCATGGACAGCACGGAGATCGCCGTGTCCCCGCGCAGCCTGCACAGCGAGCTGATGTGCCCCATCTGCCTGGACATGCTGAAGAACACCATGACCACCAAGGAGTGTCTGCACCGCTTCTGCTCCGACTGCATCGTCACCGCCCTGCGCAGCGGGTAGGGGGGGGCAGGGCATGGAGGGGCAGCGGGGAAAGGCGGAAGGGAAGGGGGTGCTTGGGGAAGGGACGGGGCCGCCTGGAAGCGTGTCAGAGAAGGCCCGGGTTTGTGGGGGGGTTGCTGGAAGGCGCATTGAGTGGGGGTGGCTGGGGAATGGCTGGGTGGGTCGGGGGGTCACTGAGGGGTGTATTGGGTGGGGGGTGGCTGCAGAGGGCGGATGGGGAAGGGCTGGGTGGATCAGGGGGTTCCTGGGGGTGGCTGTGGGGGGCAGACAGGGAAGGGTCGGGGGCCCATGCCCGGGATAACCCCCCCTCGGTGCAGGAACAAGGAGTGCCCCACCTGCCGGAAGAAGCTGGTCTCCAAGCGCTCGCTCCGCCCCGACCCCAACTTCGACGCCCTCATCTCCAAGATCTACCCGAGCCGGGACGAGTACGAGGCGCACCAGGACCGCGTGCTGGCCAAGCTCAGCCGGCTGCACAACCAGCAGGCGCTCAGCAGCAGCATCGAGGAGGGGCTCCGCATGCAGGCCATGCACAGGTGGGGGGCAGGGCCGAGGCGGCCCGGGGGGGGGGGGAAGGGGTCTCCCCAGGATCACGGCTGCATTCACACAGTTGGTGGCAGGGAATTTCCTGGGTTTTTTACCGCCGTTTTTTTGTGTGCAGAGGAACCAGGGCGTCGCTATAGCCATGCCCCCTCCCCACCCCGTCCCTCAGGACCCTCCCTAAATCCCACCCGTTAGCTCTGCCCTCAATGCCCTGCTCTGGGGGGCTGGGGCCGGCTGAGGGGTCCAGCCCAAAGCGAGTGCTGCGTCTATTGGCTCAGTTCGGCATTTCACGCAGGGTTTGCAGGGACTTTCCTAGTGTTTCCCCCCCGCCCCCCCGGTCGGTCTCCCTCTGCTGCTCCTCCCCCAGATAACCCCCCTCTGCTGCCCCCACCCCAGGGCGCAGCGGGTGCGGAAGCTGCACCAGGAGTCCGACAACACCACGTTCAGCGGGGGGGAGGACAACTGCGACAGCCGCTCCCACCTGAGCAACGCCTCGGCCCCCAGCCACCCCGAGGCTGGCCCGAGCCGCAAGCGCTCCCGCGCCTCCGACGACTCGGGGCCCGAGCCCGACCCTGAGACCTCGCACGACGGGGGGGGGCTGCGGGACCCCTGAGCCGGGCGCCGAGCCAGGCAGCAGCGAGATCGAACTCGTCTTCCGCCCCCACCCCGTGCTGGTGGAGAAAGGGGAATACTCCCAGACCAGGTGAGAGCAGCCCGGGGCTGATCCATTCCCTGAGCCCCAGCGTCCCCCTTCGAGAACCCAGGCTCCGGGGGCCCCTCCATGCCACGATCCCCCTGAGCCAGCTGCAGCAGAGGGGAGAGCCTGGGGACCCCAAAAGTCCAGCAGCCCATTGTCACACATGCCCCCTAGAGCTCTGCCCGCTCCCACCCCATTGCGCCTCTCCCACGTGCAGCCTCTAAAGTGACCTGCCCCGCTGTCCCCTCCCCCGGCACTCATACCCCCCCCGGGCCCCCCAGCCCTCTCCCCCCCAACACCCATACTTCCCCCCGGGCCTGGCAATCCCCCTCACCCTGCCCCATGCCCAGCAGATACGTGAAGACGACAGCTAACGCCACGGTGGACCACCTCTCCAAGTACCTGGCCCTGCGCATCGCGCTGGAGGAGGCGCCAGCCCCCGGCCCCGAGGCCCCCGGCCTGGAGGACGTGAGCGAGAAGCAGTACACGATCTACATCACCACCTCCGGGGGGCCCTTCACGGTACGGGGGCTGGGAGGCAGCGCTGGCCCCGGGGCAGTGCTAGGGGCCTGTGCTGCAGGGCGGGGGTCAGCAAGGGGGTGCTCTCCCCTGGCAGCCAGGGATGGCCCCATTGCAGTAGTAGGGGGGGGCGGAGGCTGGTGGGGGGGTGGGGGCAGCAGAGGGCGCTCCCCCCCCACTAACCCCGTCTCCCCGCAGACCCTGAACGGCTCCCTCACCCTGGAGCTGGTGAACGAGAAGTTCTGGAAGGTCACCAAGCCGCTGGAGCTGTACTATGCCCCCACCAAGGAGCAGAAGTAGGGGGGCCCCTCTGACCAGGACTAACCTGTCCCCCTATGGAATTCAGCCCGGCGATCGCCTTGCTGCTGCGCCCCCGTGTACAGCTGCTGGAGCCGGCAGGGCTGGGGTCCAAGCAGGGCCCCCAAAAAGCTGGAAACATCCCCCTAAGGACGGGGTGCTGCTCCCAGGACAGACGCCTGCCCCTAAGGGGCTGTGTAGGGGCACCCCTCGATTCTGCTTTGTCCCCTCTGCACAGGGGTGCCGCCTGCTGCTTCCCCCCATGCTGGGGGTGGGATTCGCTTTGGGGGCTTTTCAAAGTGGTTCTGCTGTTTGTGGCTCATTAAGCAATTTGGGTCTTTGAAGCATCAGCGTCTGAGTCTCTTGGGGTTTGGGGGCAAGGTGGAGGAGCCTGGGCTCCATTTTCACAGAACTGGGCTCCCAGACCTCCTTGCTCTAACCCACCAGCCCCCCCTCCCCTCCCAGAGCCGGGGAGAGAACCCAGGCGTCCTGGCTCCCAGACCCCCCTGCTCTAACCCACCAGCCCCCACTCCCCTCCCAGAGCTGGGATAGAACCCAGGAGTCCTGGCTCCCCCTCGTGTTGTGGAGGGGAGGTACTGGGTGAACTGGACACGCTGGTCAGAGCTGGGGGAGTTCAGGCCACCAGAGCACGGGTCTGAGCCAGGTACCAGACGCAGGCCCTGATTCCCACCCCATCTCCCCTCCCTGTGCTAGGGTGGGGACGGGGAGGAGGGTCCTCCTTGCTGTTCTGCCCCTCCCCCATCCCATGCCAGGGGTCCCAGACAAGCTGGTGAGTAGCAGGGAGTTTATTGTCACTGTACAAAGCCAGATACACAAACACACAAGCCACCTGGAAGGGAGGGAGAGCCCCCCTGACACCCACCTGCAGGTCCCTCACCTTCCCCCTCCCTCGTGGGGAGCCACCGCAGGGTAGAGAGGGGTGCTGACAGCCTGGGGCTGCCCCCCAACCATAGGGGCCCCACAGGTTGGTGGGGAGCACTGGGGTTGGACTGGTCCCGGGGGGTTACAGCAGCAGGGGGAGAAGGGAAGAGTGGGACAAGGATCTTCCACTCCCCCCAGTGCATTGGGGAGAGGGGGCACAGACCCCCCTGTGCCCACGCGGGGGAGGGGGCTGTGCCAATCCCCCCCCGCCCAGGCCGGGGGCAGGGTTGGGGGCCGCGGGTTCCCCTCTCCTAGAAGTTGGGCTTGTGTTTTTTCAGCTCCACCATGAGGTGGTGGATGTTGATGAGCTCGGCGCGGGCCGGCAGGGCGCGCAGGGGCGGCTGCGCTAGCACCTTGTGGAAGCGGTGGTAGTACTGGATCAGCTGGGTCAGTGCCCCCTGCAGGGGAGAGAGTGGGGGAGTCAGAGCCCCCCAATGCCCCCTGTGTCTGTCCCCCACCGGGCAGTGCCGCCTCCCCCCAGACCTCGGAGCTCCCTGCACTCCAGTCCCCACCTGGCAGGAGCTGGCTCTCAGGCCGACCCCCCCCCCCCATACATAACATCAATACCAGTACAGCTGCTGTACCCTGTGCTTAGCCCCTCACTGGGGGAGCAGCTGCAGGGTAACGGGGCTCTAAGGAACATCCCAGCCCCCCTCACGTTCGTCCCTGCCCGGGGGCTCCATGGAATAGCTATAAGGGGGACAAGTGGGAGAGTCCAGAGGAGAACACCACAAGTGACACAGGGTTAGGGACCCCGCCCGGTGAGGACAGGTTAAAACCACCTGGCTCAGTTAATCCGGGGGGGTGTGCTCAGAGCAGCCTTCAGCTCTGCCCCGGGCTGTTCTAGCGAGGACGGGGGTCGCTTGCTCTCCGTGGCCCCAGCAGGCAGGACACGGAGCAAGGGGTGAGTCTGTCTGGAGATGAGGAAACGTTTTCTAACTCCCCAGACAGCGAAGACCCGGACCAGGCGCCGGGGGAGGCTGGGGCCCCAGCCCAGCCCCCACACCCGGGAATCCCTGTCCCTGGAGGTTTTTCAGGCCAGGTTGGACAAGCTCCCGGGGGGGCAGGGGGGGGCTGGCTTTACTTGGCCCGGCCTCAGCACAGGGGCTGGACTCGGTGGCCTCTGGGGTCCCTGCCAGCCTCCTGGCTCCGTGATTCGCTGCCAACGTCTCACCTGGATGATGCTGGTCCCGTTTTTGAAGTTGCTGAAGGATCTCATGACGTCCTGGCTCAGCGATTCCACCGAGGCCTTCCACGTGGTAGAGAATCCGCGCACCAGCTGGGTCACCCGGGCTGGGGAGAGACGGGGGGTCAGTGCCACCGGGGTGGGGGCAGAGCCTAGAACCTCCCCCCACTCTGGGGATCCCCTGTATGGAGAACCCAGCACCGGGGACAGGTCCACGCTGCCAGCCGAGGGACCCCTGCAGCTCCCT